GGTGTTCCACAGGCAACAGCCTCCATCAGTTACCTCAGTTGTAGGCCAGCCAACCAGATCTCACAAAGAATTTGCAGGAATTGTTACAAGCGAGGTTTATTTTTGTTGTTGTGATGATTGAACCACATGCAGGTACAAAATTAACAGCGTTATCATCGCAGATAAGAAAAGCACTTTGGTACACTCAAGGGTTCGTCTTCAGCACCTTTAGTACTCCATTATTCCATTGCACTTATTTTTATATATTAATTATGCATATTTCTATTGTATTATTATTATATTTTTAAATATTAGGTTGTGAAAAATGTATCTTCTCCCTGGGAAACACAGGTGCACAATTGGATATTAAAAATCTTTGAGGAGACATTCAGATTGTTTGTACCTTGTGATTGAAAAATGTACCTGTATAGCATCTTTTTTCTGACAATGTAGAAAAGGAGACTTTATATTTTGATTTGAATTTGAAAAATTGAAAGAATGCATCCTCATCATATTTTGTCACTTTTTGACAACAAACAAAAGAATGTTGGAATCTGTCAGTACAGAATGTAAACAATTGAAATTCATTTCAGAATGATACCAGTGTTTCCCGTAGCTTTTTCAAGACCGAGTTGTAGACCTATAGATAAGTTGTGGTGAGCCATGCAGGGCTGAAATAGTATCATAATTTGTTTGAAAATCTGGTAAATACATTACGTATAATATTCTCTATACATTAGTTTTCAAGAAGTGTGTGATTATGAGTTTATTTGTAGTATTTAATATCAGTGAAAATCAAGTGCAACTGAGTGCTTTACACTTCATTAATGGATTTCTGTGAAGATGTTTTGTGACAACATCAGTTGTAAAAAGCGCTATACAAATAAATTTGACTTGACTTGATTTTCGATTATTAGGGCTTGAAGAATGCTATGGGAAGCTTGCTTATGTCTAAAAACATCAAGCCACCCCAAACTATTATTTCAGTTTGCAGAAAATCTTTAAATAAAAAGTGCTAACTCAGACACTAGAAGATCAGTGTTAGATGCTGATCCTTTGGCACAAGCCAGCTCAGCTCTGCCACACACTTGTATAGCACACTGTTAGAGATTGTACCATTTTTGCTTTGGCAAATGGTACCCCAGAACTCTGAAGCCATGAAAATGAGATCAAAATATAAATAAACCAAAATGTCTGTTTATCCTTTGTTCTATTCCTAAATTCACAGACAAACAACTATTTAGTGATGTGATGTGTTTGTCATATTACGCATGGAAAAACAGCATGTCGAAGCAGTGACTTCATTGATACTGGAATATTATTTATTTTTATTCTAAAGATAATTTTGAGGTTTGTTTTTCAGTTTAAGTTGTAAAAATGCATTAAAAGTTTCTGTCCTGTGTTAAAAATGATTTGAAATATAATGATATAAATTTAATTTTTTTGTAATAATAAATCTCATCCTAAGATTTTTCAGTGGGCTTACAGAGACAAAATAGTTCAAGTAATTAATTAAAAACAAAATAATGTAACAAAACAAAATCAGGAAGGACTTTTTGAATTACCTCTTGTATGGATATGTCCAAGTAAGAAAGTCTAACTCTGAGAAGTCTGTGGTTAGTGAAACTCTATTCATATTTCTGATAAATTTGGATAAAATACTGACAGATTTATGTGTTACAAGAAGATTGCGTCAGTGATGTTACTCATGAAACATGAAGTGCAGGTTACGATGGTCACAGCACCCGGGGCAGGAGTAATATGAATTCAAGACAGCAGCATATAAATCACTTGCCTGGTCGGGCAAGCTGACATTCAGCCATGGGGTGCTTTTGACAGCGAACAATCGTACTTGATATGGCCTTCATTTGCTTTTATATACAAAAAAACGTCACTGCGGGGAAGCTGGTGAGCCTGGAGGCAAATCTATCCAATTGTGTTGTTTTTTGGTACTCACTTCTAGTGTAAGATGTGATTCAAAATGTTGGCGACGGGAGAGTACCTGAAAAAAATGTATTCCCAAACAGAAAAATCCATTACCGGAGATGTTTTGCACAGTTTGTAGCAGTAATAATAATAATAGCATGTATTTTACTAATGAATTAATACTGTTATAGAGATTTGTGCATGCGCATTTATTCATATTTGAAAAATGTTTTGAAAAATTTCGGTAGAGTGACCCTTATATCAATGATTGGGTGCCATTCTTGGGATATCAATTCAGATTCTGTGCATCTTCACATTTGAAAATCATTTAATGGTAAAGATTGTGCGGATCATTTGATTTGATAGATAAATAAGAATTTCACTTGCCAGATAAACACCAGCCAGTCATTTCCATCCTTTTATCCAAGCCAGAAAGTAGCGTACAGCATCGTAAACACTGCACATAATTGTTATTTCATTTAAATACCACAGCAAACTGCAATAACTCTCAACTTTAAAGGGTTAACTGATTGCAACTCCTCACACAAAAGCTCGTGTGAATTCCTACAAATTCCATGAGATCTGATTGGAGCCTGAAATCCAGACGAAGAGTAAAACACCCAAAATCTCTTTAGAGAATAATGCAGGCAGCCAAGTCCTACATAAAAAAGAAAAGAAAAAGACACACAAGCAAAGGTTGAGTTTCTATTCAACTTATGCATAGACAACAACAGAATCTTTGAATATAAACTCAATTTCAGCTGTGTGTCTGAAATTATGTGGTCTGAAGTGGCCTGAAGTGAGTGTGTATTGGGGCAGCTTGAAAAAAACACTGAAAGCTCATATCAGCTAAATTCAATTTGACAAGCTGGTGTGCAGCGCAACAAGCACAGACCGAGTTTCACCTCTCTCCTGCGTACAAGATTTCATCACTGCATCAATTCAAAATAAATAAATAAATAAAAGAACACAGGAAATCTCACTTTAACTTACAAGCTCTCCTCACACATCAAAACACATTTAAAATCTCTCATATTCATACACGCACAATCACAGACGAAATAGAACAAATGCTTTAGTTTCAGCATAACAGTTCAACATTCATCTGCAGTGATCTTAAATTAAAGTCTTTAAATCAAACTCCTGACTGCACTGATTAACTACTGCTGAATTATTCAACATAGGAATGCTGTTATGTTAAATTTAATTTATGATTGACATTCAGTAATGGTGAATGTTTGCTATTACTGTAAAAGCAAGTTATCACCGTTAACAGTGACCAAGTTAGCATCCTGACTAAATGTTCATCTAGTATCCAAACTGATTCGGAACATAATTTATGTTATTTACAGGCATGTTATGATGGATGTTCATTAGACATTTTGGTTTATCTATATGCTGAAATAATCTCAATGTTAAAATAAAAGCATTTTTTTTTTGTATATTAATGTGAAGTTTCATTTGCTAAATAAACTGAAAAAAAGTTTGGTAACTCTTTACCAGGGTGCTGTTCATAAGGCTACATGACACCTGAATAAACTTGTCGTGACAACTGACATAACCCTACATAAATAGCTTATGTAGTTGTTATGTAGCCTTATGAAAAGTAACCTACAGGAAAGGGTTACCAAAGGTTTCTTTACCTTCAGTACTGACAGTAACAAACTGTGGTGCCTATTTCAAAATAGTCATATATCATAACTCAAATAATAATAATAATAATGCTCAACAGCAGAGATGTTCACAAGACACTACATGTCTGAATTGAGTCGACTTAGGTCATGGCCACAACTTAGTAAAGTGCTGGAATGGCTGAATTTCCATGACCACCACTTAACAATTTTGGTCCCATGTCATACTAATATGTAGCCACTACTTAACTGTCAAAACTGAATTAACTTGTTCCTACACCTTCTAAGTCACTGTCACAACTGTTTCGTTCTGACACCTTACTAAGTCTTGGCCACCACTTAACTATCTTGCTCCCACGGCTTAACAAATCATTGCCATTACTTAACTATCTTGTTTTCATGCCTTACTAAATCGTGGTCACAACTTAACTATCTTGTTCCCATGTCTTACTAAGTCATAGCCACAATTTATCTCAATCCCATGTTTTGATAAATTGCGGTGAGTTTAAAGTAATCTAATCTGTAATTTGTAATTGACTTCATCTAGATTAGCTGACAAATTAAGCTAAATTGGCTATTACTCTTGCTATTCGTGTTAGCCAAAATGCACGCTAGCCAACAGTTTCAGGCCATCTTGCCTCTGGCGTCAGTGGACATTGCTGACTCGAGTGCCCATCATCTTAACAGTGAGATTTTTATTTTTTTTTTTATATGGATGTACTCAACTGAGAAAGCTTAAGGAAACTTAAGTTTGGCATTCTTAGGGCCTCAGTAATGTACCTGTTTAAAATTCTTTTAACCCCAAGAAAATGTGAGTATTAAAAAAATATATATTTTACCCATATTTTAGAGGATAACACATTTGGGAAAAAAAGTAAATGTACGATTGGTGTGCCACATCTGCACTTCAAGGCTGTAACTATTAGTTTCGCTGGCATTATTCTTAAGTTAAACACAAAATTTTCATTGGAACTTCACCCAGAGCCAGTGGACGCCGCCCACACATATTTTCACAATTCATAAATCAAATTTCTGCACCGTACTTACAGCAGACTCTACCGTACCTGATTCTTTATTTGTGGTTTTCTAGGAACACTTGATATACAGTATGTTAGCACTACGTTATACACGCATATGTACAAACGAGTGAAATTCATCATAAAATATAGAAAATAGAATAACTCAGAATGGCTCACGAAACAGACATTGCCTTTAGCACAACATACTCACATTCACGCGCACGTAACTGTTTTTAATGGAAAGTGGAATGCAACAGCAACATGAGGGGCCTTGTGGTTGATAACAAAAATGCCTTTTTAATGTCTCTCATGTAAGGATTTTCTTTTGCAGAGTAACTGGTGCCTCAAAATCCAATGAGCGCATAGTTAGCATACTCCATAGATGCACAAATAGAGTAGTATGGTGAGAAGTCTAGCAAAAAAAAAACAAAAAACAGCAAAACAGCAAGGCTGCTGTTTTGAAGGAACGTGACCCGAGGTCACATGCTGGAGAAATGTGGACAAGACATGGCAATCAGATGGTAACGTCCATAGTGATGTCCATGTGGGGACATTTTGGCACACGCCAAATGGTCCTGAAAGCTCCGTGTTATCCACAGAGACCCAACGTGTTTTAATTTGCAAGGACGGAATCAAAGCTGAAGTGGAGGCATGAATATAAAGCCCTACCAACACAAAAGGTGGCTAAAAACAGAAAATGTCACTCAAAATCAAGTGCCTTCAGCTGGAGCTGCTTCAAATAGAAAGGACAATTAATTTATCACAATAAAAACTCAACTCTCTTTTTTTTTTATATATTTATAACATATTTACAGATGCCCCTGTGTGTGTGCCCTTGATTAGCCGTTCTACTTCTGAGGATTCCGATTTACCCTTGTATTTTTCTTTTTACATTTTTTTCCCGGTGTTTTGGTCTTGTTCGGGCCAGGCTTGGAGCGTCCTCCCAAAGAATGTCCCCCCGCATTACGCTTTGCTGTCGTCCTGTTTTGTGTGGATGCTGTTGTCGCTGTGCACCTTGATCTCGATCAAGTCCGGCTTAAGGACGTCTTTTCCATTTTCCTCTTTGAGAGGGAGTTTTCTGCAACAAAGAAAACAGATGCTTACCAGCTTTAATCCTTAAAAGGAAGTTCTCAAACACAGTCACTGGGAGGAACACAAACACAGGGATGGTAGATGATGATCATATGTAATATGTTTGTCCTGTACATTCAACAAAAAAACAAGGATGATGGACTAAGATAAAAAACACCTACAAAGGCATATGCAATGCCTTAGACATGCAATGGATAAGATATGCGATACCATTCCCTGCATCACTAGGGGAAAGTGTAAAGCAACAGTCACACTAGACATTTGCGGTCCCTGCCTTGCCTGCGAAAAAGGTAGGAAAATTGGCAATAAAACATCCTGCATTGGTGCAGTTAAAGATTTAGAAATGATGTGAGCTGTGGTTAGAGATATTGTATTGAGAGTGAGGAAACTGGCCTAGTTGCGTATTAATTTATAGTTAGCTTGGGAAGAATTATATAAAGTATTGCTTCTAGACTAGGCCTAGATTATCCCATGGGTTTTATGGGATTTCAGGGGTCCAGGTCACTAGGGGGCCCCCGTGTGGTGGAAACTTTACTTTTCTGCACAGAGAAAAAACTAAACTAATTACAGTCTTGTCATTGTGTTATAATTCTGACGCTCTTCAAGTCTTTTATAAATGTCTGCTTTATTTTCTCCTCCAGTCACTTCTAGCAATCTTCCATTACCTCAGTCAAGCTGTCAGCTTTTTTTTTTTTAATCAGCGAACTAGCGTTCCTGTAAAGGTACCTTGAATTTTAAGCTCCAGAAATGAGGGGAGGATCTGCAGGACCTGTAAAAGCGAGACCTGAAACCCTGACTGAATAGAGGATGCCCATTTCCAAAGTCAAACATAAGAAAAAAAGGTGCTGATTCATAAACAATTTCCATGCCTGCCGTAGCTGTATGATTACCTTAGGACGCTTGGCGGTTTCAGTTTTAAAGTTTGCTGGTGTTGTTTTCTTCGTCATTGTTAGGTACACGTCAGCTGTCTGATTTTAATTCTCATCTAAATTTAGGTAAATGTGCTTGTCAAGAGTGGATGCATGTTGTAAGTGCTGCACTGGCCGCTGGGTTTATGTTAACGTGTTCTTGTGTGTGTAATCTTGCTATGGTTTTCCTTTTTACCACTATAGGCTATTGGATTACGCAGAATGATGACTGCCCTGCTATCAACAATAGGCTACATCCTCATTTCATGGCACTGGGCATTTTGAAAATGTACTGCTTTCACAGCCCAGATTGGAAGATTCAAATCTATTCTTACAAAAAAAAAAATCCCTGACCACCAAAAAAAAAGGTGGCCAGGTAATGCCCAGGGACCCACAATGTGATGATCCAGGCCTGGTCTAGACACTGCTAAAATGAATACCTGCTTTATGGCTGCTTCAGCTTCTGTGAGTCAGTGGAACTGCTTGTGCTGTTTGTGAACTTTCTTTTAACAGCAGAATGGGCTGTTATCCAGTGTTTTTGAGTTGCAATGGCTAAAAGCTAAATAGCAGTTTCATCAGTGTTACTACTTAACAAATCTATTTCTTTCTCCTCTTGGCCTTCTTCCTGTGTTCTCTCTGTTAGACAAAAAGAATGCATTGGACTTGGTGGGAAGGTTTCAATTATTTAATTTCATAACAATTGACTAGTTGTAAGAAGACAGCATTGTATGCCAGCACTTCATCTAACACTCCTGCCATTGTTCACAGGAAAACTCATTGCTGTGTGCGTATGAATGAAATAAAACTTGGACTAGAATCTCAGATAAAGTGCATTCAAAATGGATAGAAAAAAAAAAACAATAAATGCTACTCGATTTTATAGCAGTTATCATTAATTAACAAAACATTGGTGAGTGGTCTCAGCCCTAAAGTCCTTCATAGAATTTTTTCACTCTGGAAGTCTGCAATGCAAAACTCCCCACTGTGGCATTTCACAGTGAAATGAATGAAAGTGCGAATTTCACTGTCAAAATGCTAATGTGACTGGGCCTCTTATTAAGCCATATGCAATGGGTAAAAGGTCACACCAGTATGACTACAATGTTGTTCTACTTGACAGCACAACTTAATAATACCTTTAAAAGTCAAGAAAGTCACTGTGAACAAATAAGAAGCACAGAACTCCAGCCAATATGCCAAAACTAGCCAAACTACCCAAAGAGCTAATGCTGTGATTAAACTGAAAAAACAATAAGCTTAACAAAACAATAAGCTACAAAACCACAACCTTCCAGCGCTACAGTATGACTAAACATATTCGAAATGCTTGCAAAGCTAATTGATTCCCTTTCTTCAGTGACTACAGTTACTTTAGTACTTTTCCATGACAGATCTGCCTCTTACTCTGGCTCAGTTAGAGGAGTTGTCTCATTTGGTTCGTGCACTGGACTGCCGTCCTCTGGGTTAGTTATTCTCTCTTCTTCTGTCCTCATCTCCACAATGGGCTCCTTGGACCCATCACCCCTACTCACACATGCGCGCACACACACACATACACACAAACGCACACACATCAAGAGGTAGGCATTACGAGCCTGGCAGAAGCTGCTATAGAGACAATGCCATTAGGGATGCGCTTTGCTGGGAATAGGCTGATCCCACATCCTCACTGTTGACAGAAGAGCCTTATGCGCTGCGTATAGCCTAAGACCGCTTGCATTCAGAGTTATCTACAAACCCCAGAGGCAGCACAGAAAGAGGCTTTACTTTTCTCTCAAGGCACAATAATCTCACTAATAAGGACTTTACCAGAAAGGCTTTGGGGATGGCTGTCAGTGCATGTTTGCCCTGCTTGTTCTCTACACCTCGCAGTTTCTTATTAAATTACCACTCCAATTTAATGGGGAAAAAAAAAAAAAAACTCTGTCCTCTGCCAATTTGCACATGCTTCATTCCTGGACATAATACCGCATGTCACTTAGTGCTGGGTGGTACATCGTCTATATCAATTTATAGGTATTGGTGTCACATGTTAATATTCTATTCTATAAAACAGTGATATCTCTGCTGCCTGTACAATGATAGAGATACACAACATAAGATTCTTTTTGATGTAGAAAAGAAAAAAGAACAAAACAGTCCAACAGGCCTGGGTGATATCAATAAGTAATTAGCATGATATTTTCTTTTTAAAATCAGGATTATCAACAAAATTTTATTGGAAAACAATATCTATCTAGTTTCGGAACTGTGCATGTGCATTCGTAAGCTCCTGCTGGTGTAGGTTCACACGTTTCCTCTTTTAGTAAAGCAAGCCAGATTTCTGCCTATCATCAAAGTCATAAGCATTTTGTCCCTTCACTTGGCCACAAACTGCCAACTTTGAGAGCATTGGGCCATGCAAAATAACCAACCAGCAGCCATTACTGTTACATGACATAGATAGAAGGTGTTTTTCAAAACAGGGCTAAGGAAGTGAGAACTGCTGAATAACTTATAAAGATACTTTGTACTTTGTTTAATCCAGTGACTATATTTCCCACTCCGAAAGGCTCAGTCATGTCACGCAAGGCTTGCAAAGTTTGTTTCCCGTTGGATTGTTAAAACACGGATGAACGGAAGTGCAGTGACATGGACGTACGGGTAGCCAACCAGAGCACAACTGACACAAATCTGATTGTTGCGGCCAGCTTAAGCTACTACAGACACCAGAAACTCCATACACATGTGGGTGGAGTGCCTGAGGCTGAGGGTGTGTCTCAACGAGCTCTATTGTTCAGTAGTCAGGGTACTGCCCTGGGAACCAGCCATTTTCTAGAACATCACTGTCAAAACTGTTTCAGTGCACTTAAACTTCTGGCATCTGAAAGTCACAATTTATCAATCATTATCAGTTTTCTATGAATGGAAATGTTCATAGCAACCTGCAAGCTACTTAGCTAGCCAGTTGCATTTGTCCCTGATTTAACATGCTTTGACATTAATGTTTGCCACTATAACTACCTATTCTATCTACAAAATAGTACACTATATCTGTAATAATACAGCAGAATTATAACAGAAATGCTATTTCACAGGTACTGCACTTAATTCATTTCATGAACAGAAAATTACATTAAAGGCAGCTAACAGGCTCACAGCTAACAGGCTAACAAGGCCCCTTTGAAAATATTCAGTTACAGCCTTTAGCTTTAAATATTTACTGGAAGGATCAGACAAAATTTTACTGAAATGTTCACTGAATAACTAATCAGCCATCAGTTGACTGTGTTTTAGCTACAGCGGCTATGAACGGCGAACCACGGTTAGCTTGGCACCAGCAATGCTAACGTAAATCTTTAATAACATGAAGAAAGGCTTAATTGCATTGAACACTGTTACATGTGACTGACACATGGCTGTATGTAAACCCCTAGCAGGGACAGTGAAAAATTTACCATAGTCTAGAGTCTGCTCTATAACAATTCTTTGTTTTAAGAGTAAAAGGGAATGAAAGATTGCATGTGTATATTGTTTAATAATCATATGTCCAGTTATATCACCCAGGCCTACAAACCAATCCAAACAGGGTTTGTAGCACATTCTTTTACCACAGAGTAGCTGTCCTCAGGGAGCATGGGTTTATTAACTTCATTAAGGCAAACTTAAATATCATGACATGATGCTGTCATAAAGTAATCCTTCTGGAAAAACTGTGATATACCAATACCAATATTATAACAATAATACTAATACCACCCAGCACTAATGACACTGAAACGGGCCATCTAGCACATCAGTATCAAAAGCCTAATCCTTTCCACTTCCTCACTCTGTGCTCTAATAAAATAATCAGGACAACCACTGACCTTTTAGACCGAATGCCCCTCATTAGAGAACATTAAATTCCTTCCAAGAATTGAGACATTTCCCCTCCAGGCTGTCTGAACTTCCTGGGTATGGCTGTGTAAAAGAATGGACACCTTCCCTCTGTGATAATTGCACAGTTTAGAAAGGAGATGACTAATAGACTGACAAAACTTGGCATTAACTTTAACAAAAGCCATCATTAAATTTCCATCACTCGCCATGGGTAGGCTAAATGCAGTCTGTCAATCAAAAACGACTTTCCAAAGATCCCCATTCTTCAGCCAGATCCATGTGTATTTTAAATAAGAAACCTGTTACGCTATATGAAATCTCTCCTCTTAGTCAATGTGGGTTTGATTACTCACAGATAAAAACAAAAGCAAAAACAAACAAACACCTCAACATGCTTACGCAGTACACAAAAGGACATAAAAGATGCAGTGGGGAAAAAACCGACTGGGGTTTAATAGATGTGACAGATTAGGGGTGGGCGATATGGTGATATTTTATTGTTATCATGTTGAATTCTATCATGATATCGTAGTCATTGTCACTATTTCTAAAACTGGCAAACTGAATGCAGAAACACAGGAGACATAGGTGAATTGTTTAGGGCTTGTACAGGAAAACAGACACAAATTGTGGATGTATTTTATAGTTATTTGCTATTGCAAATCAAGTCATAAATCAAATCAAGGATAATTTAAATGTAAGAAAATGCTGTGTTAACATGCACAAAAGTAATCATATTTGTCTCGCAATCTTTGTTTTCTTTTAATGTGTATCCATGTCTGTATCAGTCTAAATACACTGACTGGCCACTTCATTAAGTACACTTTCTTGTATCTACATTCATTGTCCATTTTATCAGCTCCACTTACCACATAGGTGTACTTTGTAGATCTACAATTACAGACTGCAGTCCATTTGTTTCTCTGCATAGAACGGACCGGACAAGCAGCAGCAGACGACCGAAAGCTGGTATTTGTGAAAGGACTGAAAATCTGTTAGAGGCCACTGAAAAGTGGCCAGTTTTGGGTTTTGTGTTGTGTGAAAAATTGCTAGCTAGCTTAACAGCTAATTTAGTGAGGTTTTAATAACTTCTTTTAGATTAACTTCTAGATTAGCTATTGCACTAGCTAGCATACTTATTTCAATATTTAAGCTGTAAATGCATTATCATTAAATCATTAATAACAACAAGTACCAAAGCACACCAAGAACAACCAAACCATAGCAAATCAGCTTACACATTTTTGAGCAGTAACTCAAGCATGTTTATTTTCTTTGGTCTAAGCAGCTTCTCTGTGCTGTTACCACATTAAGAGGATCTGCAGTCTGTAAGCCAAGAGAAGACTGAAGTCAGTATTCCTCACTTCTCTTCCTTTCTGAAAGCATGCTCACGTGGCTTCACTTCACCTAACAATACTAACATCAATTGGAGCTACGGAGCACAATCAGGGACTATTATATTGCACTAGGTTAAAAAGAAGCTAATTAAATGTTTGTCTGCTATGTTTGATTTTTCCTATTGATGTTAATGAAAAGTAAAAATCATTGTACTTACAGCATAGTTTTTCCATGGTTAAAACTTGTTAAAACTAAATGTCCTATGTACTGTGCATCGTGAAGTATCACATGATTACCCTTTGACCATATAGCCCACCTCTATTATTGACTGATGAGGCGTGTCTAGTTAAACAGGTGAACTACACTACGTAACATGTAACACAGTAGGACAGTCAATAGGAAAATGGCCTGGTTAAGCCTGGGCTGAACTCACAGGTAGGCTGCCTTGCCCTCCTCCAGCTCTTTGCCTTTGCTGCTGGTGGCAGTCTTCTTGCTGCAAAGCTTCCGGGAGATGCACATGAGCAGGCCGCACTGGCGCAGGAAGAAACAGCTGACATCAACCAGCACCAGCAGGAGCAACAGGCCGGCCAGCCCCAGACCCACCACTGCGCCCAGTCCGAGGCCGCTGAACAGGGAGTCTGCTGAGACAGAGCAGAAGAAGCATAGTCACCAGTTGCTGAATGTCTTACCTAGTTCAAGTCTCAATTGATCTCGTCAGGTTCCACACTTTCTTTTGCGGCTACTGTTAAGAGGACAAGCTTTAGAGCTTTAACAGAGATATCTACAAGTCACTTAATTCGAGTCTGGGGTGAAGGTCCACCCTCTGGTCTTTAGTACAGAATTTTAGTGTTTAGCTTAATGCAGCTTAAAATAACCAGCATTTCATTATAGATAAAACATTTAGTTCTGTCTTTCAGACTGAAGTGCTACATGCAGTAAATGTGGTGTTTAAAGGAAAGAGGCAAAACAGCTTAAAATGGGTTGCTAGGCTGACGTTTGTATAGTTAGTAATCTATCTAGTTAGAATAACAGCTAACCCAGCTGAGGTTCTGCTAAGTTCCTTTAAGTTTTAAAGGAATTTGATCTTTAACTTACTTAAACTTCAGGTAGATTAGCTACTGCACTTGCTTGCATACTTACTATCCAAACTACATGCTAGGCAATGGTTCTGAGTTATTCTGCCTCTTTCCCTTAAACAACGCATTTACTGTATGTAGTGCTTCGTTCTGTCCATCAGACCAAAGGCCTCCCTATAATGAAAGGCTCCTTACTTGAGGCCATGCTGGACCTGATGCCACTGAAAGCTAAGAGTGAATGACACTGCGAATGACCACTGAAAAACTTCCAGAAGACACATGTGTAGATCAGAAAAAAAAAAAACATTCAAATATTCATTTAAAGCCCTAATTTATTTAAAGCCTCTTTCCCCATGCTTAAATTTCACAAGACTTAAATCTCAAGTTAGTTAAAGGTGAGTTGTGAGTCCACATCTCTGCTCAATACTACATTTTCTTTTCCAATATTGATATTAAAACTATTTTTAAAAATCTGATATTTTCTCTTTAAAAACAACTAAGCTTAAAAAATAGCTACTTTTAAGCACTTCATATAAAAGTCTAAAAGTAGGCTATCCTACTCAAAATACTGAAATGCTGCATTACCCTACAAGAAGAAATATACAGCTAACAGTATCACATCAATCAATGTGAGTGTGCACTATTTCATGTTAGATTTGTTACAGGACTCAGATTCTTTTTTTTCTTTTGATATCCACTCTGACAGCCCTTGGCCTGATGCAGACTCTTAGTATAAGATTGGCATCACTTAAACAAATCAAATCAAGCAAAGTCAATCTAAATGTACATTCAAATTATCTTCAGTTTGTATGCATGTAAAGATAGATCAGTTGTAGTTTGTGTTACTTAATTGATAAGCTTCTATTTCACTGTTGCTTTCACTGAGCAGCTTGACCCACTGGCCAATTTAATAGGTACATAGGTATAGGTATTTAATAGGTCCCTTGTATGTACACTGACTGTCAGTTTTATCAGGTCCACTTAACATACAAGTGCAATAGTCAGGATCCCCGCAGGACCACCACTGGGCAGGTTTTATTTGGGTGGTATATCATTCTCAACACTGCAATAACATTGATGTAATATAATGCCAGTGTCACTGCAGTGATAAGAATGATCCACCACCCAAATAATGCCTGCTCAGTGGTGTCTTCTGGGGGTCCTGACTATTGATGAGAGGGGTAAAGAGAGATTAAGATGGGCTGCAATCTGCAATTATAGAACTACAAAGCGCCTATAAGATATGTGGACCTGAGCAATGGGTAATGAGTATAGATATAAGATAGGTGTATCTAATAAAACAGGCAGTCAGTGTAGCTCAACATATCACGCTTTGTTTTTTTTTAATAATGTCTACATATATGGGAAGAGCAACAAGGAAATTGTTGTTGACAAATCCATCAGCCATGCTACAGCAGCCTAGTAGTATTAATGTTGGTTTAATGGATGTCAACATAGCTAGCTAACAGCATTAGACCAGCTGAAGCCAGGGAACAGTCTGCTTGGCCTATAAATTAGATGTTTATCCCTAAAAAACCTTGATTACACATAGAAATAAAAAAAAAATCTAAAGACATTTAGCATGCAAACAAAATCAACACTTTAAATTTAAGTTTAGGTAAGTTTAGAAGGGTTTGCATGCAATCTCAATGTTTAATGCTGCATCCTGGGATTAGAAGCCATTTGAATTGGATTGTTAATGTTTCATAGCCAAAGGGTCCAACGTTTCCTGTTGCGTTTGAATTCAATTTAAGCCAGACGACAGGGGCCTTTGGATGGACATTTAAAAATGCATTTCCACTAATAAATAAAGGAGAGGAAATGTTGTTCAGTTCACAGAGCTAAATGAAGCCCTTAAATGCTCTTCCAATAATTACTAAGTCTTGCCTCATGAATGGGAAACCATTTCCTATGTGTTTACTGAAAGCCATAGTTATCCCTGTCAAGCACTCTCTCAAGCCTGCATCTAAAGTTCACTGCTAGCTTTGAGGACAGTACTTTATAGCTCCTCTCAAAGATGTTTTGATCTTTGTTGTGCAAAAAGAAATCAAAGGGTCATTCGCAACACCTTCGCAATGTGGAGAACCTGAGGCTGGCTGGAGGAAATTCGTTCACACCTAGTTTTTGATTCTTTACTGCGTAAAAGTACTGACGAAAAGCCTAGACCTGAAGCATAAACAAGATCTTATCCAAAAGTGGCTAAAACACACTTTACAATCAAATAAATCGAAGATGAAGCAAAATGCACTTGGCTTGGAGATGGTGAACTATGACACACTTTGGTCAACAGTGCTGTATAAATCGAAATTTTAAATTTCATAAGGTCTCTGGTGATCCTTATCTCTGAGGGAAAGTGAAAAGGAAGCAAGCATTAAACACAGCAAACAGCATCAAAGCGCTGTTCACACATTTAGGTTAACCGAATGCACCCAAGATAGGGCATAAGGACAAATAGCTGACATCAAAGGCAGCAAAGTCAATAGTTTTTACCCACCAGAGTTCCTGGACTAATGAAAAAGTCTTGTGTTTGTTCACAGCACACAGACTAAACTGGGAGATAACGGTTATTTTTGTAGCAAGGGGTCTCGTGTTGATACCTAATTCATTCAGTCTTTCAATTTGGAACGTTATTTGTGTTTGCTGTTTGTAGATGCGATACTGAGTTTAATTTTACCCTTTTTGCTGGATTTGGCAACTCATTAGTCCATAGAGTGGATGAGCTCTGAGAGGCTGTTACTACAGATTGCTAGTTACTGATGAACACCTGTTCATGCAGTTGTGTCAAGTAAGCTGATGATGATTAAAGCTAATTTGACAATGAAACTGTGAAAATGTATCGTCTCGTTCTTGGTGTACATATACACATTCATAATTCAGCTCTGCTGAAAGAAGGTGAGCTAACTGCAATTACTGGCTATGCAGTGTTTGGCAGTCCTGCTCTGATGTGATCTTCTTTAATTTAGATTAGTGGTCCACATGAGGATTTTACAATGGGCACAACCTCAACCTTGTCCTCATCTGCTGGAGAAATGGAATCTTTGTTATCATTAATTGATATGGTCAGGTGACACTGATAAAAGGCTACATTCTTCAAATCCCCAAAAAACTTGGGACTATACATGAAATGCAGATAAAAACAGAAAACAGATTTATAAAGCCACTTTGACCTGTATTTGAATGAAAACAGAACAAAGACAATATTTATTACTAGCAATATAAGACTAGAAACATTGTGAAATGTTCAAAAACATTCTAAACAGGTGATGTATTCACGCTTGGGCATAAAAGGAGCATCCAGGAAAGGCCTAGTCCTTTATGAGCATGGATGAGTCAGTGCTCGCCACTCTGCAAAAAATGCATCAGGGAATAATAATTCAACAGTTTAAAGTAACATACCACAACTAAATATCTGTGACCTTCAATCATTCAGTGACCCCTTAATTCAACAGCATCCAGAAATGCTGCCTTCTTCTCTGGGCTTGAGCTCATCAAAGACAGGCTGATGTACAGTAAAAATGTGTTTTGTGGTCTGACGAGTCAACCTTTCAGATTCATTATGAAAACAATGGACATTGTGTTGTCCAGGCCAAAGATGAGAAGGAACATCCAGACTAATACCAGTGTGAAGTTCAAAAGCCAGGGTTTAACACTAAACACGTTTTGAGCAACATATTCTGCCCTGTAGACAAATGCCTTTTTCAGGGACCTCCATGCTTATTCCAAGACGACAATGCCAAGCCACGTTCTGCACGTGTTACAATAGCATGTCTGTGTAGTCCTTCCTGTTTGGCTGCACAGCTAAAGACTTGTATAACAGAGGACTGGTGAAAAATTTTGCTTTTTTTTGTCTTCAGTCCCCAAACGATTAATAAGCGCTGTTAAAAGAAAAGGTGATATAAAAGCTTCTCTGTAATGTTTTCATATTTAAGAACTCTTTACTCCACCAGAGGGCAGTGTAGAGCCTGTGTATTATGTTTTGGTCAGACATTCTAATCTTTTTATTTCAAAGAAGGAAACATAGAGAGACTACTACAGCCATTTGAAGACTGCTACACCATGCACGGGAAGCAATACTACAAAGTACAACTACAGCAAATAGGAAGCTAGTTCTGCTACTTTTTTTGCTGTTCCATGACACGTGATTGATTCATGTGATGTTACTCATTAGGATGTGCGCATGCGGGACAGTTCAGGACACAGGTTCATTCACATTAATGACAAATTTGAGTCACGTACCTAAACGACTGTGAACCATCATGTTAAAGTGATTGGATCTGAGCAAAAAAAACAGATTTTGAGCAGTGAGGCTTGTAATGTGAACGTCGACTAATTTTTCACAAACTTGGTAAAAGGTACAAAATGAAGTAAGCCAGCAACGGTAGCTAAGGATAGACAATTAGCATTTTTCTGTTTATCTTAAAGGCTTTAGATTGAGAGCCTTTCTTCACCTACTATTGCTTTTTGTGGTCTGGTACTGGATTTAATTTAATGCAGCAATAGGGAGATGCTCAGAAGCGCTCAGAGACATTGAGCAATGCTAGATGTTGCTGGCGGCATGTGCACGT